CCATCTCACACTTTCTCTTCATCAAACTACCTTTCAGAAGAAGGATACTGGAATAGTTTGGTGATTCCTCATTACTTTGTCGGTTGGTACGATGAATACATGAATACAGCTTGGTAGTTTGTCATAAAGTATTTAAAACTATATCAAACGACTGCTGTTGGGCAATCTGTTGACTCATGTTATATAAATAACAAAACAAGTAAACTATGAAAAGTGGTTAACAAGGAAGTTTTATACAACATTTTAAAACAAAGCACTTTTTTTCTGACCCTGACATGGATGCCTAATACCCTTTAGCTTTCAGTATGGTCACAATACTGTCTTTTTGTTCAGGTGCCTTAGATATGTTAAGCTTGTCTTCCAAATATATCGAATAGCGATAGTCATGTTACCATACTAAACATCAACCATATAAATGAAGTCCTATCTCAAATCTGATTATCATGAAAATATACACCGATAACTTCATGAGATAAAGTCTAGTAATTTCTTCAGTTAACAACTAGTTTTCAACGGAAGAATACGTAAAGGTGAAAATATCAGGTGAGGAAAAATATGCTAACTGTATACTTCTATGTAGTTCGAAGATACAACGAATTGAAAGGTGGTGATAACAACAACACAAAGTGCTATAATGGAATAGCAGAACAGATAAAATGACGTATGACTGGCTACAAATAGTCTCTTCTTCACACACGCATAGTAAAAATAAAAGCATTACCATTAATAATCTTAGTTGGGCAAATATTTCACAGTCCGACCAGTCATACGAAGCGGTCGACGCTTGAACCAAGAACAAAATATCATTTAAATATATCAATTCACTCTAAGTTTGCACCTCGTACGATATTTATCTGAGTGCTTTCTGATATTTATATCGAACACTTTCTATTTTACGAAACGTGATCTTGAATGGTAGATATAAGTTTACCTGGTATTCTGAAATTCTGACCAACATAAGAAATGTGTGGTTGACAAGTCACAGGAGTAGCACTCGGAGAACCTGAATCACAAACCATAACAGGGAAACTTTTGCTATCCACTAAATGTACCAATAAAAAACCTCGTATGATCTAGTACAGATAAGCTCCTATAACCGAAACCTACAAAGGTGTTTACCCTAATACCATTGTCAAAGTGATAAAATTTCTAAACAGTATGGTCATACTGAAATACTATTATGCTCTCAGCACGTGCGAAAGAAAGTCTTGATTATGTGAACCATAACGATATTCACAAAACGAGAGTACAGGATACCGAATCAAAAGATTTGACAAGGATGTAAATCGGTACATATCATGTCTACACACGAGGTAACATAAGCGAAGTTTCAATCCAGAGTTGGTGCACTCAAAAAGCATGAATAAGTCAAAAACTTAAATTCTGACTTTCAAGATTCAAATGTTTAATCTCATGGTATAGTATCAATAGCATAAAGCGAACAATGTTACTAGGTTTATAACATTTTGGACATTGTTGGTTCCCAGTAATCCTGTCCAATAATTAAACCATAATCACTACACACACCAAGTTTGATTAAAAACGATCCATTGTATTTAAGGTCAACCAGTAAACAAAACACTATCACTCGTGTTTTATTCGGTGGACTAAGCGATATGAATCAAATTCCTCATCAAAATGCTTGATTGATATAGCATGCAATGAAACACCTTTATTTACTGGGTGACCTTTCGGGCACATCTACTGCACATAGTCATCAAATAATATTCAAATACACATTGTTGCAATTTCAGTATTATATTACTATAAGCGCGAAAAATGGATGATGCGCAGATATTTTAATAAGATGAAAAGACCAAAATGTCATCTTTTAGTTGTAGAAAAATCTGTCGATTGCTTTAACTATTTTATATCCTCTGCTGATAAATGTTTGTTGAAATCAAAGCTGCTTTCATTATTAATCTCATGTTCTTCATAATGTGATAATTTGAGGATCCTACAAACTACCTCATGATATGAGACTACTACGGCCTAAGTAACAAAATCTGAAGATAAAAAAATGGAGTCAAGGTTGTTTCTAGCAGTGTTTACACATAAATACTGTTGCAGCAGTGGTACAATTGTAGGACGATTATTTTTCCATATTGAAATCCCTGTATGTGTGCCACTGGACAGAAATAATTATGCAGAAAAGTCAATGACAGCAACAGTAGATTTTCAAAACCTGGTGCAGGAAAGAACAAATTGGAGATATTGAACAAAAGATTTACAGCAGTGTTGAAAGGAATCAGAAGCAGAAGTATGAAAGACTAAAGCCATCTAGACCTGCTCTTGTGGGCTATATGGTTTCCTGAAGCCATACAAAACTCAAATACTTTCACATCTCCTTCCTAATATCTCAGGCTGTTTCTGTCCATCAGTTACTAAGCAGATCTGGCAAATTCTTGAACTAATTCAAAGACAAGTGTGCAGCATTGTGTTTTTGATGCGTTCGAATCCACCGAATGGGTGAACTCTTTCACCGTCTCCACTATGACAATGATAATACCGGGTGTTATTTTCTTTCTCACTAGTGTACTATGTAAGTATACATACACAAACAATATGGATAATAGAATACCTACCGTCAATTTAACTGAACTTGTTTTAGGGTGTAACTTGAATGTATTACTTGACTTTATTGAAGAGATGTATTGACAAAATGGTAGTATTGCAATGTGATCTCCACATGTTCCATTATTTTTCAATTTCTTTGTGGCTAACACCGACAAAAGTAACCTTAGGATGATGGTCAAATTGCAGATACCATATAACGAATGCGTTGGTGACACTATATGTGACGACACAGACAATAAGCAAGAAATTCAAAAGCTTCTTGCAGACCTTATCCACCAATGGAGTTTACAATAAAAAGAAAAACAACTCAAGTTTCTGAACCATATAGAAGCGCTGACTTGACATTGGTGTTGAAAACCCGGATGTTGTTCACACTTTATGCTGAGTGCAGTGCAGTGCAAAAGATCTCCACACTGGTTTTGGATTAATGAACGCCTCTCTTGCTGTCTTTCCGATCCTGGCTGGCTTTGACATCCTCGTCTGTGCCGCCTGTAGTTGAAACGGCGCTGCATAGATAGGTGAAGGAGGCTACTTCCTTTAGGTCTCTCCCTTTGATGGTGATTGGTGCTTGTTGCTGTTGGTTGGGTATCATCATAACCTCTGTCTTCTCAACGTTCATTTGAAGTCCCGTCTTTGACGCCACGCCTCGCCCCTTCTGTCAACTCTTTGGCTTTTGCCTGTAAACCTCCGAACTTGTGCAACATTAGACATAAATCGTCATCAGCGAAATTCAAATCTTCTGAGGTCTTCCCATCCGTCCGGCCAGCGTATGCCCCTCTTCTTGCTTCTCACGGTTTGTTGCATGATCCAGTCGACCACAATCAGAAAGATCATCGGTGATAGTAGGCGCCCTTGTCTCACTCCTGCCCTCACTTCAAAGGCGTCACTGAGCTTTCCATTATGAATCACTTGGCGTGTAGCATATAGCCGCTGTTGAATGAGGTTGGTAACGGTTTGTGGCACTAAAACCATAGTGTTGAAGCAGCTGCCAAATTACTTGTCGGTCGACGCTGTCGAAGGCCTTCTCAAAATCGATGAAGTTGAGGTAAAGATCCACTTGACTGCCATTCTATGCTCTGTTCTATGATGATGCGTAGCGTAGCGTTGCTATTTGGTCCGCACATGATTTGTACTTCCTGAGTCTAGCCAGCCTGTTCCGGTTGTAATTTTGAGTCCAGCGCTTCTTTTAGTCCCTCCAGAATGATGCCGCACAATATTTTGCTTGGGGCGGACAGAGATGGGAGCATGATTCCGCGCCGGTTCCTGCAAAGATTAGATCTCCCTTCTTCGGGAGTTTGACAAGGTAGCCCTTCTTCCAATCGGCAGGTGCATTCCCTTCCACCCAAACCCTCTGCAACAGTGGTGTGAGCGTATCCACCGTTGTCTCTACGTCTGTTTCAGTACTTCTAAAGGAGTTCCGTCTAGTCCTGTTGCTTTCCCAGGTTTCAGCAGCTTTATGGCGTGCAGGACTTTTGGTTTTGTCGGAGGACATATATATATATATATATATATATATATATATATATATATATATATATCAAAAGCCGTTTTATATCGAAATACAACCCCTCTTTTTCAGGGGAACATCTACTAGGAGATTAAAACTGTTGCAAGCAAGGGAAACGAAGAAAATTGCTAAACAACTTGGAGATATCAATAAAATCCAATTCAAAAGACCTCTACACATTTTGCATCAAATCATTATTCGAATTCAGTACGATTCTTTTGCCAATCGAAATGCATTTTCCATGGCAAGTGACTGAACTATAGCAATTGCCCTCGTACAACATGGAGAAATGTTCACGAAAAAAGTTATAAAATAGCCTTTCTCTGTGCCACACCATTACTGAGCAATGGCTGCTAGATATTTATAGATAAGTCTGTCGAACACCGAACTTGTAAATTTGAAGGTAATGGTCACAGTTTAGTAAGCTGTTGTTATTTTTATCAGTTATTTGTGAAACTCCGATGTTAAATAAAAATTCAAAAGGAAAGTGTGTCATGAAAGAAACGAAACCCGTTAAAGTGGTGACAAATACAAACCAGAAAGATATGCTTTGCCTCTAGTCACTTGTTGAAACCCCTCGGAGGTAAAAGAAATAGGGTGTGGTATTATCTCCTCTTAAAAAATCATTCAGAATTTTTTTATGGACACAACAAAAGATATTTGCCTAGGTAAAACAACAACGGTTAAACGTGTTGCATTACACTGACAAAAGCATGTACACGTGATATTTCTTTCCCTCTATTCTTTTTGGTCTTCTCAGATACTAAAATTTACATAAAGTGGTTCTCAGTTGATGAGTATATAAATACAACGCCTATGGAAGCATGATTCCAAGTTTGCTTGTTCAAATAAAAAAGTGCCAAAAAGAGAAAACTTTTCTGCAGAAAACCAAAAAGGTAGGAGATACACCACATACTTTGAATATTTGGGGAGGACTGGACGCAAGATCGTGTGTCATTTAGTTAGATTTGCACATTTCATTATAACATTTAAAACATTTTCCAGACCTCAAGGTTAGCAAAGTTCAATCTGTTTTCACACCTAAACAACAATATAATGAGGTAATTTCAAATAGCTAGCGATAAATCTTCGAGGCTTAATTTTTGCTGAATAACACAACTATAAGCAATAAACAACTAGTCTGGGAGTTCGAGTACCTGAGTAGACTGAAAAACAACAAACAGTAAGAAAAGGAAACATGCTCCGCTATCTCAAGCTGACACCATGAATGGATCTCAAGTATTTTCTGAAGACCTGGTATGACGTATTCTGGTCAAAAACAAAGGGGACAGTTTCCTAGAAAAAGCTAATCTTTGCGCATAACATTATGCCCAACCATCGCCCTCCAATGTTCCTCCTAAGATTTGTGTTAGAGCTTCTATTAGGTGACTGATAAAGCTGTTGAAATGGTGGTGTAATGGAAAATTGAGCTGAAAACCCCTCTTGATCATTCCATTTGATAGTACTGACATTTATTTGAATATTTTTACCCTTGTTATGGATAGTGTACCTGTGACCCTAACCGACGTGCCATTATTCGGTTATCTGACTGTCTTCTTTGGCTTCGCACTCAGTATTTGCCTTTTCATGATTGAGACCTATCATAAATGTTTCACTCTCCTATTATGTGACGCTGAACTGTTGATGGCATGACGTTGTTTTACTGCGCCCGACATTTTGTTTTGGTTCAGCTTATGGTTGTGCTGCTATTTGGCTGTCTGCTGGAAAAGTTTAATTGTTGAGTTGATTCTGGTAGACAAGGTTTTGATCCCCTTTTGTCGGGAATATTCTTATTGACTCTCAAGTACTTAACAGTTGTATTTGTTTAACTAATTATTACAATGTAGTTCGCACTTGCACCCGAGAACCTGTGGACTGTATAGTTACCCAACGACACTGTTGAGGTATTTTTGTAATTTTGATGTAACTTATTGCTGCTTTGATAGTACCACAGATTTGTTACGAATCTACCACTGGTTTACTATAAACCGTGTTTTGATATTTTGATCCAACATTTGACTGCATGTCACTCGCGGAGGTTCAAGGGCCATACAGTAGAACGCAGGAACTAGTCAGATCCACGTCAGTTGGCACCGCCTAGTTGTTTCCCGCGTTCATGCCAAAATTATTGGATTTTGGCCGTTTCAGGTGGTATTTGGAATGTTTCACGTCACTGAAACTTCTTAGTCACCTATATTTAAAGGAACATGGGACAAGTCCTGCTGTACATTCCTCAAATGGCTTGAAAGCTGGTAATCGCAGTTATTCAATCCACCTTCTCAGGAAGCATCTTATATGTCTTCTATCTTTTGGAAGTCAAGAAGTCAAAATTGATGTATGAGATAAGACATGGGGACGGATGAAACCACCAAATATTTGATGAAAATATTCGCAGCGGTCGTAAATGGCGAAGGGTTACTAATGCCAGATTTGCGTGGTAAAACGTCTTTGTCCAAGTACAAGATTTAAGGTCTTGAAGCACCAAGGAACATAAATTCCTTTTCCACCACAGATGTCTTCGGTTTTAGGCAGTTGAATCAGAATGATTTGTATGCATCATCCAGTTCATGCAATATCTGATATTCCCACCTAAATAAAATCAGTCCGTGGTAACGCGTCCACTGGTGAAATCGAGTTAACTAATCTTGCAAAGTGAATCTGTCATCTTCATCCGAGGATTCCATTCCGTTATATTATTAGCGAAGAGGAGAGCTCCGAAAGACAAATGATGATGCGAATTGGAAAAATGAAGAGCTGTCGTCCTGAACCCTGTAAGGCTGCATTAAAGCTTCTTGTTTTTCGAATACAACAGGATCTATTCAAGCCTAAAATATTATTATTATTTACTCCTGAATATGCAGGCACACGCCATTTTTACAGGTATGAATAAGTTTATGTACAAATTACATTCATCTTCACGGAAGGTAATCTAGATCCCTACCCGTTGTCACTATAAGATATAAGTGCTGCGTGTTCATGTAATGGAACACCCCAACAGAATAAGTGTGCAGAAAATTTACAAGTTGGACAAGTGGAAGTATTGTCTTCGCATTAAAAAAAACTAGGTTTGTATCTAGACACTACAGGTATTACCTGGAGAAAAAGCTAATACTTCCATTGTAACAGTTCGTACTTTTTGCCTGAGATAATGATGAAAAGGTTATGAAGGAATGTGTGCATGAATTGTTTGCCTATTGTACTTCATTGATGGTTCCCGGACCGTATAATTCATGCGCGTTAATACCATTCCACAGCAAAGATTCATAATCTTGATGAATATTATGACTGAAAGCTAAATGTCTTCACTTCTCCAACTCCAGCATCCAGAAGCAATAGACTTGTTTGAATGCGCCAGATGGACTTCCAGAACATCTTGTCCTTCTTTTTCACCGGTCGTGACAGCCTTGCAGTTGGTAAGTGTTGAACTTTGCTGGTCACTTTTATAATGAGTGAATCCTAGATTTCGATAATTAAAAAGTTGTAGTCCGGGAACATTTTTTATTTCTGCTTGTTGTAGTTGGGTATTCTGAACTTGGTAAAGTTGGTTACCCTCCATGAAGGGTAGTTTCAGCCATGGCCTGTTCCTTAAGTAATTAATTCTCGATGGCAGCCAAGCCAACGTTTAGAACTGAATTATTTTCCTATGACGAGAAAAAACAGACAAAGTAGCAGGCAGAGAAAGCAAGAATTCCAAGAAGGAGAGTGTTTTCTATGTTCGTGTTTCCCCCTACTTAACTTCCCTCGCTATGGCTTTCATTGTATGTCCTTTTTCTATAAAGTATTTAAAAATGCAAATTTGATGCTGTCACGCGGTGTAGGATTTCTGTTTTTGATTGCCGTGTTGGGTGGGGCAGAATGCGCAGTTAGTTTGAGGTGGTAACTTTCGGAAGTCTCCTCAGCGCTTCGTATGGAAGGTCAGTGTAGGTGTGGTGGCTGTCTCATTATACATTAAGAGAGCCGAGTATACGAAGTGTCGTGGAGACTGTTGGTGTATTCGATAAGCCGGAAAAATCACCAGATGATAAGAAGTCAGCCAGTAGCCGGCCAAATTCAGAGGTTGATTTGGAGGCCTGCACTTCAGCTGGAAGTCTGTTTCACAACTGAGAAAATTTGATGGCAAAGAAGTTTGCGTGCCACAGGACCCGAAAGATTTCATTTTGACGCTATGGGCGTGGTTGTGCAGATCGTAACAATTGTTGTGTTCCAACTGAAACTCACCACTATCTGTAAAAGTGCGTTTATGTAACACGTTAAAGAAGAGTATCAGGTTAATTTTGAGTCGTCTCATCCAAAGTGTTTCTAGACTTAGTGTTCTGCATGAGTTGTGGTCCCATTTGCATTCGTGTCCTAACAATCTAGCTGTGAAATACCTTCGGACATCCTTTATTTTGTGTTTGTATTTTATGCGGACACCACTAAGTACAAATGGACAGTATTCCAGCAGTGAACGTACGCAAGTTTTATAGAGTAATAACTTGACTTCTTTGAAGTGGAAGTTACGTACTATGTAACCCATCAGGATCCTAGGTCTGCGAGTCTGTGATGCTACCTGTTCAGAAAATGTGAAGGCCCTTGAATATCTTAGTCCGAGGTCACATACACTTTTGGGAACAGGAAGTTTCGTAGACTGAAGATGTAGTTGGATATCCACCGATAGAGCACCAAAACATATCCAGCCACATTCGCCTACACTGGACTGAAGTTCCAAGCAGTAGACCATGCGGATATTATATCGAGCTCCGTTTGTATTAGTGCTTGGGAGTGGGTTAAATTATCACGGGCGAATGTGTATGCAACTTTTAGGTCATCAGCAAACAAGAATGGTTTACCGTATGTAAAGCAGCTGCAGATGTCATTGACGTATAAAGTAAAGAGAAGAGGGCCTAATACACTGCCTTGAACAACACCAGAGGTGATTGGCCTAGGTTTTGAAGTGTGTGAATCTACCTTCACCACTTGAGTGCGATTACTGAGGAAAGACTTAATCCATCCCAATAGTGGATAGTCAATTCCCATAGTCATCAACTTACTTATTAACAGCAAGTGATCGACTCTGTCGAATGCCTTTGAAATGTCTAGATAGAGTACAAGGACTAATTGGTGTCGGTCGCGCATAGTGGTTATGAAGTTAAAGAAGTCAAGATGGCAAGTTATACAGGACCTCGATTTTAGGAACCCATGTTGACTCGATGTGATGATGTTGCCACTAAGCATATGCTGAAGAATGCTTTCTTTAATAACTTTCTCCATAATTCTAGAAACTACAGGCGTAATATTTATTGGTCTGTAGTTACTGGCTAGTGTTTTTGAACCAGATTTATATCTAGGGAGAATAAATGATGTTTTCCACATATCAGGGTATGTGAAAGATTCCAAAGAGAGAGAAAATATTTAATGGAATATCAGGGCCACCAAATTTAAAGAAATGTGATGATATTCCCTCTGTGCCAGCGCTGCTGGAGAGTTTTAGCGTCCCAATGGCTTGGTGAATACTAGAGTATGTGAATTCAACCGTATCTATTGTTGTTAGTTCAGGAGAAGAATAGCTTTTAAAAGTGCAGACCGCGCTAGTGTCACACGAAAAATTGTAGGTTCCAGATAACTAACTGCAAATAAGTCGCTGAATGTTTCACAGATATCCACTGCATTATAATAAACCTTGGTGTCATGGATAAGGAGAGGAATGTTGTGTCTTGTGCAGTTCGATCGCTTCTAAGGAGCGCTGAGGTAGCATACACTCTAGATGAGCTAGCTAGTGCACGACTCTTTTCATTCTTTAAACGCACATCATGGTTATGCGGGATAGAGTTAAGAATACCTAGAATCAACCGAAGTGCATCGACGTCGTGATGTCTGCGGTATCTTGTTGAGAGTTTGCGTAACCTTCTACCAGCACCGGGAGGTATATATGGCTTGTCGTTCAATGGCATTTTATTGAAACCTTTCAGTGGAACGACG